TTGTGGTAGGATGTGGTGGTTTTTCGGCCGTATAAAAATAGATATATTTCGCGAAACTGCAAAGGAAATGCTTTTTGTGCGTCACACGAGTCACGTGATCAACAGCAGGATGTTACTACTGGCAGAAACGCCAAAGAAAATGAGAAGTACTAGGGGGGACGATAGTTTTGTTTTTTACGGACAATGTGCGGCTGGCTCTAACAGAATCACACAGTTCATAAAAAGCTGCATGTCATTCAAACGTGTTGAATCTCTTCTGTAAAATTACAGACTCCAATTTCCCCAAAACGCCCATACGTAGCTGCTCCAACAACTGAATAAGATGCATCCATCAGACTCCTCTGGTGTCTCATGGATGCCGAACAGTAACTATTTACATGATTTTTAATGATTCATTGTGTAAACAAGCCTATTCTTTCGCATGTGACTTTAAAGTCGTTCCTTATTTAACGGAAACTCCGCAATAGCGATATGGTGCTTGTTTATTTTTGACGCCGGTGGAATAACGACAAAAGCTTTCCTCATGTCTGTAACGGAAACGCAGCTAACACGGCCTGGCTAACACACCAGCAGCAAATGTTTGCCGCACCAGCATATCCTGAGCTGTACTGCTGATCTGTTTCCAGGCGACGGTGGCAATGTGTGGCATAGTTCAGGCCGAGAAGCTGAAGGGGCACATTCTGAGCTCAGCTGACAGCGGGGGGGAACAGGGAGTGGGAGGCTGTGCAGAAGAAGAGAGGAGGTGGGGGGCTGGGTTGGGTTTCAGCCAAGTGACATGCCGTGACATGCCATGACATGCTCTCAAGCTCAAGTATGAAGACATGGAAGGCCCAACAACAACACTTGGACATCGTATATTACCTATAAACAGATATGGACACATGCGAGGACATTCACCCGACGTAAACACCGGAAAAAAGTCACGGAGCTGCCACTGTAAAGTTATTCCTCCAACATCTAATGTTAGAAGTTATTTCACATTTGTGTATGGTTCTACATGAATCTGTTTTTCATACATATGGATTATATGAAGTTGGTTTTGGCCTCTTTCAACCCCCCATAAATGAGTAAAAGCTGGTCGTCTTTAGGCCACCAAAAAGCTGGTTGGAGAGACTAACCCAGAAATACAAATACAAATAAATTTAGGTTAAAAGTGATTATTTTGAGCGTGCGTGCATTCTTTGTTGCCCTGTAATGGCAGTCTCCTGTCTGATGGAGATAGGCGCCACCAGCCTCCCTCACGGTGGCGTTCAACGCACTCCACTCACATTAACAGTTCTTTTCAGAACAATTGCACCATTTCCAGTTTTATTAAATGGAAGCGGTTCAGTAAAGTTGGACCTGGCTGTTGTTTGAAAAATGGACATCTTCTGGTCTTATCTCTTACCAAACATCACAGTTTTTGACACAGTTTAGTATTAAAACTAGAAATGATGTCAGGCTCAGTTTTCACACAGAACAACAACAACGGAGAACATCCGTGTTCTGTCTGAACTTCTTCACTTTGTGAAGCAAAATCTGGTCATTGCAGAACATTTATGCCATCGGAGAACAACTTAAATGGCTCTACTCAGTTCTGAAAATCTGACTCTGGATCAGAAAATTTGCAAAGCCTCACCGCCTGCTGCAGGCCTGACATGCACACTGCATTTAGAAAGCGCTGGAGATTTTTGACATGAAGATGAAAACGATGCATTTTCATTAAACAAAGATCGTGACATCACAGAGGAAATTGCAGTAAGCATGCCAGGCCAGTCGGTGGTGCTATAGCGGTGCCACAGAACAACGCAAGAACCATCGGACAAAACCGGATGGCACCATGCTTTTTGTGAGAGTAAGAATGGACCCACAACATTATTGTTTCCCCCCGCCCCAAAAAACAACAATAAAACAAAAGAAGAAGATGCACAAAACATGAAACCATCCTTTTGAAATTTCTCCTTTGCGGATCCACCTAATCTTATTTCTGTGCGGACGGGGCCTTTGTCTGGGAATCAGCTCCATAAAAACTCCACAGACTGGAATGGTGGTAGCTATCAGCTACTTCTCCGGTTGACCACATTACCACAGCAAGGAAGCCGTGTCTCCTTCCAAAACCCAGAAAAAACTCCCTGGCGGCTTGAGATTTAATGTTACTTTGAATTTATTCAGCTCAACCACTCAAGAAGAGAAGTCTCATTACTTACTTTTCCATGTCATCATCACGTTTTTGAGAACAAGCTTTTTTGTGTGTGTGTGTGAAAAAGTATGACAAAAAAAACACACATACACAAAAAAAAAAAAACAAGTTGGGTACTTGTTAAGCATAATTAACAAGTACCCAACTTCTCCTCCAATAGCGTAAAGACATAACCGCGGTGATGCCATTTAGGCTATGAGCTGGCTGAACTGGTCAGGCTAAAGGGAGAGAAGGACAGGCTCCATGCAACCGTCTCCCGTAACTCTCTGGACTGGGGTCAAAAGGCATTTGGCCGTAAAAGCCCGGACACCCACCGAGACAGACCCTCTGACCAAACAGGCCCCGTTCCACTCTCTCTCTGTGCAGCCTCTAATGTCAGCTGGAGGAAGAGGCCTCGGCTGTTTAATTTTACAGCACAGTGTCATTCTGTGTCGCGGGCAGAGCCGCACAATGCACGTATTCATCCGGCACGAACAGGACAGTAATGGACCATTTTTAGCACATGAAGCAAGAAAGCCCAAAATGTCTCATCACAAAATAATCGGTTCTTTCAGCCTCCAACACTGACAGCGGTTATTTTTTTATTTTATTTTTTGTCACTGTTAACACACCTGCTATGACTTCTTCAACCGGATGACCTCATAGCGTACCACAGCTTATGGCAGTAATTAGGAGCGGTGACAGCCAAGATGCCATTTTTGCTGCAGAACGTGTTCGACGAGCTCGACAAGAACATAATACTCCGTTGCCAACGCGAGAGGTCTGTTGCTTCACAGACAAAAGGCAGCGTGGAAACCAAACAACCGAAGGCTAATGCTAAAAAAAAAAGGGAAAAAAAACCCCTGCAAGGTTGTTTCTTTAACACTTGGCTCACGCTGCAGGTTACAGATGTTGGGTAGAGTCAAGAACGAGGCACTAAGTCTCATCATTCCCACTCAAAATGCCAGAATAAACTACATATAATGATTAAATCAGAGTTCACTGAATCGCTTGTACAGAATGAATCAACAATAGATGATAAAATGATGCATTATAACAATGTTGATGTTGGTGTGCCGTGCGCATCGCAAGCTATAGCTATAGCTAGCTATGTCAAATCCCAGACATTATGAGAAGACTTTTTTTAGCAGTAGCAGTGTTTAAGATTCACAGTTTCACATAAGAGAGTAGCATTACCAAAATACCTGTTTTCAACCAATGTTTTAGACATTTTGATAACACCGTCTTTCTTTATTCGCCTTCCAATAGCACCCAGTCCTATTGGCTAGATATGCAAACAAGTGGTTTAGGCATGTGATTAGGAAGCAATCGGCAAGTTTTTTTGTCTGCCTCCTGGTGCCCCCAGGCAACGACGCCCTTGGCAGAGCGCCATATTGCCCCCAAAAATAAAAACCCACCAGTGGCAGTTCCAACTGTGATGAAATTTTAATTGCAATCTGCTCCGTGAGCTGTGAAACACCCCGTGCCCTGGATGTCTGGGACAGAAACTGTTTTCGTTTTGACGATTTTCAAGTAGTTTTGCCTTTTCCATTCATGCCCTGCAAGGATTTTTTTTTTCAGCTGTTTTAGCCAGGCGGAGGGGAGCTGAATGAAACGGTCCGGGCGGTACCATTATGATGTAGGCTCGGGGTTAGGGCATTAAAGAAAATCCCCGAACACACGCATCTGGAGGCGTCGGGATTGTTGTCCGGTGTTTCTGTTCGGACGAGCGTGTCGTTGAATTCGGCGGAGGTGTGATCTGAGCGGGAGAGGTCGGTGCAGAAACGCCACCTTCCCCAGCCTCCCCCCCCCCCCCTCCCCTCGTCGGGTTGGTCTGCGCCAAGATGATGTCTGCGCTGCCCCTTTAAAGCCGCCGCACTTCCGAGATGAGCCAAAGAGGAGCTGCGCCACTCAGCGAGGAGGACTGGCCGTCAGACAATCTCTTTTAAAGAAAGAGACGGAGACAGAGGAAAGCAGAACCTTTCAGCCTCTTGACAGGCTTTGCTGACACAACGCATCTGGAGTCTGGGATGTTTTCCAACTTGGGATCGAAGGAGGTTTGTTTTAGTCTCGGTCTATGCCGGACGCTGCGTCTGCACCGAAGCGTAAATTAGATCTTTCATCAGAAAAAAATTTTTTTTTTCTTTTTCTTTTTGAAAGCAAGCTTAAAGAAAACGCGTGCAAAACTGGGACTACTGCCGCAAAACAGGAATGGTTTATCCTCCCGAAGGTTTATTCTACATCGAAATGGATCAAGCACCACCAGGTAAGTCAGGGTTAAACCACAGGCAGCCATTGTCTTGGCTCCGCTACGGCTTCCCAAAAAAAAAAGAGAAAAGGAAAAAAGAAGCCGTCCCTCTCTTCCCGTCCGTCTCCTTTACGCGTCGTCTTCTGTCACGTCTGTAACAGAGATGATTAAATGCTGCACATGCGGGCGGGTTTAATGACCGTCTCCGGGGCAGCGCCGCTGCGCTCCCCCAGCGGCGCTGCCCGGGCACGCATAGCGCAAATTCACTTGGCAATTACGTAATACCCTCTTCTTCTTCGGACCGGGCGCAGAGCGCAGCTCTCCTTTCCTTTTGTCTCGGCGCGCGCTCGCCGGGCTCGCGGTGACGGTCCGCGAGGCTGCGGACGGTTTTGCTTCGGCTTTAGGAAACAAAAGGAGCGGGGGGGGGAAATAAATAAATGTGAGGAAAAGAAGCGTTAATGAGCGACTCCGTGAAACGAGGGCTTTGTCCTCCTCCGCAGTCAGCCGTGCCTCATTGGTCTCCTCTGAAAGTAGGCTGCAGGCGAGAAGGTCTCGCGACGAACAGGTCCGCGCTGTGGTTTTACTCGCTTTTGTCTTTTTCACCGTGTGACTATTAATGCGTCATTCCACTTTAATGACGGTGACAATGGCCGTGATTAAAAGTGAAATGTCCCAAGCCGCGACAAAACCTCGCAAATCCACGTTTTGTCGTAATTGTCAAAAGGCTCGCGTCGTTTTTAGCCGCAGTTAATGAGGCGGCTTTTGATGTGGGCGACATGTCTCACCGCCCAGGGTGGCGCATAGCCAGGGGGCGGCAGAAGAACTCAGCAACAGAAAAGAAATGCATGATAAAGATGTTGTTTTTTCATTTATTTCTCTTTCTTTGTGTCGCATTGTTGCATTCAGAGAAATTCACAAGGCGAAACCAACGTTACGAGTTCTAACTCGGCACAAAGTCAAAGTTGGAACAGAGACATTTGTAAAACTTGTGGATAAAAAAATGAAAAAAAATCTTGAATTTCATATGTACAATAACCCAATCATTTCCAGTTCATCATTGTGACATAATGTATAAACTGATTATGTATGTAAAGGCGCCAGTATCTGTGTGTGTGTGTGCATGTGTGTGTGGACGAAGGGGCGTGGGTCGGGACTTGAGGAAAACTACCAGGGGAAGAAAAAAAAAAAGCTAAGTTTTGGTCATACTTAATACTTAATTATGAAACATTGCATTGCCCTGTCTGATCCATTCGCGGGGATGTTGATTTTGGCAGGCGGGGGGGACTTGGCGTTCTGGCAAGCGATCAGCAGAGAGACAGACGGACGAGGTGGTTGCGCAGATGAAAATTTTTTCAGACTTCCAGAGTCTCACCGCATTCGTGCCTCCTGCACCTGCCTTTTGCTTATTTTAAGGTCAGAAAAAGAGGTGAGCGGATGCTGCGCGACTGCCACATCCCCCCCATTTTCCCCCTCCGACCGCCTCATGAAAGGCACTTTTGTCCGGCCGTGAAATATGCCGCCCTTCAACTCCTCTTGATGCGGTTCGCCCTACTTTTATATGCGTGATGTGTTTATTTTAAAGAAATGCTTACTCTTAGATTTTTTTTCCTCCCTCTCCCTTTTACATACCTTGGAAATGTGTACTATGTAAACCTAACAGACAGGAGGGGCGGTCTGAATTATAATCGAGAGGTTTTCTACACCTGTTGGGACAGCTTGAAGTCAGCTTCCAAGAAAAAGAAAAAAAAGAAGCAATTTTAGTCTAGTAATAATTACTGTTCTCACGTTTTGCGCAATTAAAAATTCACGGTTTATCACCACTTTTGAGGAGATAATGACCCCCACTCAGAGTCTTCCTAATGATTTGGCCTCCTGACATCTGTTGGAAACTTGCCTGGGCTTGTCCTTAGATCCTAACCAGTTTCATCATCTGAGGGTGTTTAAAAGAAGCGGGTGTGTGTGCTGGTGTGAACGGGAGGAGTAAATCCAATGGCAATTCCTTTCACCATACTTATAAAATGTAACCTTTTTTTGTGTGTGTGTGTGTGTGTGTGCAGCTCTTCCTCCCCGGTCCACAAAGCCAGCGATGAACAACAACAACTGCCTTTCTCCACCTGTGTGTTCGCTTCAGGACGCCGAATGGTACTGGGGAGATATAACAAGGTAAAGGAACTTTTTCAGGATTAAAAAAAGTATATATCTAAAAATATATATATTATTTATCCAGATCTGGTATCTGGTTTGTTGGAAAGTAAGACCCACGTCTACCGATTTATCCACAGAGACGAGGTGAACGAGAAGCTTCGCGACACACCTGACGGCTCCTTCCTGGTGCGCGACGCGTCCACGAAGCTGCAAGGAGATTTTACTTTGACTTTACGGTATGTTAAAGAAAAGACGGAGAGAAATCCGTCCAATCTGACCGTGACTCTCCAATCTAATTCTCTACCTTCCAAATTTGCATATATCTTTTTTCCACCGTCGCAGGAAAGACGGACACAACAAGCTGATCAAGATCTACCACCGTGACGGGAAGTACGGCTTCTCGGACCCCTTCACGTTCACGTCGGTGGTGGAGCTCATCTGGTACTACCAGCACCACTCGCTGGTGGAGTACAACGCCATGCTGGACCTGATGCTCATGCATCCCGTGTCCCGTTTCCAACAGGTCAGCGAGGTCTGCCACCGACAACACGTCCTACCATACAGACTTTTAAAAAATAATGAAGTGAGTGTAAGTCGTACGTCTTTTGATCGGCTGCCGTTTTGGACTTCAGGTGAAAGAAGACAGCGTTGACGTTGCTGGCAGAAAGCTCAAAGAGGTCCACAATCAGTACCAAGAGAAGTCGAAAGAGTTTGACCGTCTTTATGAAGCCTTCACCAAGACCTCGCAGGTAACTGGCTGGTTCATATAAGTCGGCGTCTTTCGTTAGGACCACAGAGTGTTAGGGCCACGCAAAGAGCAAACGGAGAAGATAAGAATAACATTACGGGGATAAAGTCATATGAGAATAAAGTCAGTATTGGGAAAATAGTCAATAGTACGAGAGTAAAGTCGCACAAGAATAAAGATGAATTAAGTCTCATTTCGACAATAAAGACATACGAGAATCAAGTCGAGATAAAATTAGATTAAAATAATTTATTTAGAGAATTAAGCCAATGTTACAAGAAAGAAAGTCATGCAGGAACCAAGTTGAAATAATTTGAGAGAAAAGTCATAAACTACCAAAATAAAGTCATAATATTACAAGAAAAAAGTTAGTACTATGAGAGAAAAGTCATACAAGAATAAAGTTATAGTATTACGAAAATTAAGTCATAAAATTACCACTTTAAAATTCTAAAAATATTTTCTCATTGTATTTCGACTCTGTTCTCTTAGTCTTTTGACTTTATTCTGGGAATAATTATCATCTTTTTATTTTCCTAATGTGGCTCTAATACTCTGCGGTACATTAGAAATGGGTTTTTGATGGGAGTTTTTTTTGTTTTGTTTTGTTTTTTTTATCTCATAAATCTTTCTTTCTACTTTTCAGGAGATCCAGATGAAGCGCACGGCAATAGAGGCCTTCAACGAGGCAATGCTGATCTTCGAGGAGCAGTGTCGCGAGCAGGAGCGATACGGAGAGGAGTTTGAGAGGAACAGCCTGTCGGAGGGAACCGACAATGATTTGGAGAGGTACTTAAAACATGACGCGGCTTTCAAAACAAAACAAAAAAATGTGAAATGCTGCTCCCTCGTATTCGTCTGAGTTGGATCTGTGACATTTGCTTCCTTCCTCCCTCTGTAGCTTTCTGATCAATTACGAAAAGCTGAAGTGCCGACTTGGCGAGATCTACGACAGCAAGCTGCACCTGGAGGAGGACTTGAGGACTCAGGTGGAGGATTACAGAGAGACGGACAGGAAGATCAACAACTTGCGGCCGGACCTCATCCAGCTTCGCAACATCCGAGACCTGTATCTCAAGTGAGTACTTTATCCCTTTCATGTGACCCATGAAAGCCCTTAAGACAAACCGGTTTAAGTTTTGCTGACACTGTAAATTGAATTGGGGAAAAAAAAAAAAATCCTATCTTCTTCCAGCTGGCTTAATCACAAAGGAGTACGGCAGAAACGCATAAATGACTGGCTTGGGATACACAACGACAGCCTTGATGAGTAAGTTTTAACAATTAAATGCTCTTACAGCCAGAAAGAAAACGCTGTGCTTCACTTTTAGACATGTATATATATTTATATATATGTAATATATACAGCACGAATCTTGGTCTTCCAGCACATACGTATTGAAGGGAGATGAGAAGAACCTACCACATCAAGACGAGGCGAGTTGGTTCGTCGGGGAACTGAGTCGAACGCAGGCCGAGGAGATGCTTCAAGGCAAAGTTTCTGGAACGTTCCTGATCCGAGAGAGCAGCAAGCAGGGATGCTACGCATGCTCCGTTGTGTGAGTATTCAGCAGCTGAGGCTGCTTTTGTAATGATCCTGACTATAGGTGGAATGAGATTTAATGTCATGAGGTGTCACAATGCTAAGACCCCTTAGTAGTTCTTGTGAAAATGTAGTTTGTCTAGTAAGGCTTTATCTGGTTGTTGTTAGCAGGTGCTGTTAGCATGGACCTTTATCTGGTAAAGTCAAAGTCAGTTGTAAAGTAACTCAGGTAAACATATGTCCACTTTACCCTGTTCATTCAGTTGAAACTTACTTTGAAGTCAGAAAGTTGTTTTTGTATTGACAGAGTTGGCTAGCAGAGTGCTAGCTGGGTCTGCCGACAACACTTAGCTACAAAAGGTGTTGATGAAACCACCACCGTTTTACCAGTCACTCGTGTGGAAGCATCCCGGGTATTCTGTTGAAAAGTCTGACAAAAAATGAACAATTTGTAAGAACTGGCTAACAGCTAGCAGCAAACAACCCTAAAGTTCACAGATGCTACCAAGCTATCACCGCTAATCTAAAGGCCTGTGTCAGGTTTTCTTCTGTGATGCGCAGTTCAAAATACCTGGTCCGACACTTAAAGGCTCATGGAAAACTTAGTTTGAGATTAAGAAAGCATTTAATTTGAGTTGTGAACACAGAGAAAATAGGATTTATCCATAAGTCTTTTATTTAGTTCCACCTCAAACACATAATACTGCAAAAACACAAAATGTTTGGTGTAGTCTCCAGTACAAATATCTTAGTACACTTGAAATAAGAAAACTAACTTCCATTTAAAATTTCAGTAAAAAAAAAATAGTAGCTTGTTTTAAACTCATAATATCGTAGTATTAAGTACTAGCGACACGGGCAAATTATTAAAAATTTTTCTTTGTGTAGGTGAAATAATCTGTCAATAGAACTTGTACTTTTTTATCAGTATTACGAAACTATTTACTTAAAACAATGTCGATAAAAAGTTATGTGTCGATTAGTTTTGTCTGTCAGCTTCCAAGAACTAGAAACTAGACCCAAAAGTATTTGTATGCATCATATAATCACACCTGCAAAAATCAACCATGTTGTAGACGGCCGTCGCTCACCGATGCTTTCTGTTTTACGCAGCGTGAACGAAGAGGTGAAGCACTGCATGATATACAGCACTTCCCACGGTTACGGCTTCGCCGAGCCCTACGACGCCCACTGCTCGCTCAAAGACCTCGTCCTGCACTACCACCTCCACTCCCTCGCGCAGCACAACGACGCCCTGGACGTCCGGCTGCTGCACCCCGTGCACGCCAAGGCGGCGGACCCCGCTTCCCAGCACTCCGACGAACACAAACTGTTACAGACTCCAAAACACATGCAGCCGGGACTCCCGGCCGCAGCCCCGGAGATGTGATCGAGCGGCAAGAGACTTTCCGTCGCGTACCCTGTGAGAAGGACTGCGTTAAAACGGTGCATCGCGTAGAAGATTTGCACTACCGGTGATTCCATCAGCTTTCGCGAGTGGGATCTCGCAGATTTGAAGTGGGACCGGAACTTGAATGTCAACTTGACTGTTTCAAACTGATTTTCTACTTCAGCATTTCAGCACCGTTTGTTCAAAAGCCCTCCCCGGGGCCACCCTTTCTTTCGGGCTGTGGTGTTGGGGAAGGTAAGCGGGGGAGTCCGCGACCGAGAGTTTGTCCACTGGCGTCGGGGGCGCTGTGCCCTCCCAGTTGCTGGAGATGTCCATTTCCGACGTTGGAAATCGATTCAGCTCTTCAGATTTAACCAATATCTCAGATGTGTTGGGGTTGCGACTATAAAGTGCATTTGTGAGTGGGGAGGGGCGATGGGGAAACAAAAAAGACACGAGGTCGGTATCAGTTAGGTGGGTTAAAATAAAATGCCCCATGTGAATATGTTAAAAAAAAAAGTCATGGTGCATCTTAACTATTTGCCCCCCTTTTTTTTAAATATAAAACAATTCATATACAATGGATAATTATGTAGCATTAACATACTGTAGAAAACCATTGTAAAGGCATACTCAATGTTATTACCCATTGACCAAAGCACTTAATAGTGAGCAAAAATAACATCCCTGTTTTAGTGTGGTAACTGCATTTTGGCCAGGGTAGGGCGACGTATGTACACCTGCTGACGTGCTGATCGAAACATAATCTGAAGTACTGTATGTTATATTCTGTTACTCAAAGAAGTATAAGCTTTTTGTATTCTATATATATTTTTTCTATAAACACGCCACAAGATGAAAGCTTGAAGAAAGTGCAATCTAACAGTATTTCTATTGTTGTAATGTGTGACGAGAATGACGGAGGTGTCCAACGGTGTCGCTAGTTGGCGAGAGGTTGACATTTGCCACACACAAAAAAAAATGCACTCTACCCCCCCGATCCCTGGTGGTTTTTGTTTTATTTTGTTTTTGTTTGTTTTTTTCGGGATTGCGCGGCCTGTTTGTGTGAACTGCCAGATGTCCGAAGTATCCTGCCTCCATTACTTGAATTGTGGCGTTGCTCTAGCTATGAATGTTCCTTTTTTTTTTGTTTGTTTGTTTTTCTTAACACACAGCCTACATAGCTTAAAAGGAAAGGAATCCATGTTAAACTCTGCACATTTTTATTGTTTTGTTTGTTTGTTTTTTTTCCAAGGTAGAGGACAACTTTGTTTATAGATGCCATAACGTGTTGCTCATGTTGGTTGGTGGGGAGGAGGTTGATGACGGATCCTTTTGAGAAATTCTTACTCCACTGGAGGACTGAGGAAACTCCTCGAGGAAAAAGCTAAGCAATGTGAGATCCTGGCCTTTTATCTTGCTGAGAGACAATAAACTGAAAAGAGTTTTGTCAACTTACGGAGTCGTCTTGTGTTTTCTTTCGAAGAGTTGTTGCGCGCTTTGTGATTGAAAGAGCTTTAGCGCTCTACACCGGGGGTGTTCAGATGACAGCCCCTATTGAACAACACTACATATTTTGACAATAAGTATTTTGTCACAAAAATTCATTGAATTTTTTTTTTTTGTAAACATTTGTGATTTTTTTTTTTTGACCAATTTTAAATCATGTTCTTGTTTCTAGGAGAAAACTAGAAACCCCTTTTTCAGGCGTACAGTAATTTGTTCATGTCTACTTCAAGTATTGCACGTTTGATCTCTAACTCACAATGAAAATATTATTTAAAGTTTGGACACCACTGCATTACGTTGCGCCGTAATGCAGTGGTGTCCCCTCCCTCCTTCGACTTTACTAAGTCGAAGGAGGGAGAAATTATGAGGAACCAATAAGTGTGCTTTAGTTTGTCACGTGACTGTGGACGTCTACTCAAATTCCCTTTTGGGGAATTACATTTTTGATAGTGCAATTTTACAATGAATCATTATATCCATAATGATTCATTCATGTTACTTCAGGAGTACATTAAGGGTTTTTTACATATAATATACTGTGTCCCATTCACCATGATTTCATTTTGATCAATTAAAGATACATTTCATGTTAGGTGTGATAAAGTAAACGTCAGGCACTTAGGTTTTTATACTCTGAAGAGGAAAAATGTAGAAATCACACTCCATGTGCAGCATCAGGATGAGGATAAAGAGGGTGAAATGCAGTAAAAGCTGTAGTAATAGCCCTGTAACCAACATTTAATGTCTTTGTTAAGCTGCAAAGATCTACACTAAATTATGACGAATGGCTCTACAAGAGATGGTGTTCTTGTTTTCACAATAGAACAATGTTGCCTTCAGGAAACAATCTGACAAGAACATGCTTCTATGTGTGAATAGCTTTTTTTTTTTTTTTTTTTTTTAAATCATTACTTTCAGTTGTAGATTATGTTACAATGTTACCTGCTTTAACAAATCCCACAAAAACTTTTCAAAAGCTCTATAATGTCTTTAGACTATGCCCTACTAGTCGATTTTAAAACACAAAAGCACTCAAGACATTTTAATGATGCAAACCGTAGACGGTCAACACATTGTCTAAAGTTTGCCGTTTCTCTTTCAGACGTCCACTGAAGTCTGAAAGGATTGTTTTTCTCGGCTACCAGAGCTCAGAAAGCTTTGGGGGCAACGGAGGACATTCTGTGGACAGATGGAGGTTTTGGGAGCTTGGGGGGGAGAGAGGAAGTGATGAAGACAATGGCAGGATGTGTGCAAGCTCTCTGTACTCTAGGTGCCATTAAGTCACCGGAAAAATATGTATACCCAGCTAGCTGTGCGAGGAATGCCGTATCGTGAAAAACGACTTTCGCTTAAACGCCGCGCTGAAAGGAATGCAGGAATGTCAAGTTCCACTTTGCCAGCTTTAGAACATCCCGGGCTTCCGTCCCATGTTGTGTATTCAGCAGTGGGCCCCGTTGCTACCTGATAACAATTAAAACTGTTCCGAGTTGACAGACCAGGCCTCTGTAACCCGTTGCAGAGATTGCTGTCGATGACCCTAGATGACACTACTACAGGTCCTGAGTGACCTCGACAACAGGTGGCCTCTTTCGAGCATCGCATGAGGCCTGCATTCGGTGAGGATTAATGAGGCACAGTTCCAGGGCACGGATTACTCCTCGTTACCTGTGTCAGCTTGGAAGGCTCTGTCGGGATTGACCATATGCACCGAAGATAGATGGACAGGACAAAATGTACCAAAGGTGAGTCATCCTCGGGCTGCGTGAGAGTCCGAACTGACGGAGAGGGAGTGGGTGGAGGGACAGGAAAGAGGAGGGACAGGAAAAATGTGTTCAGGGAATAGATTTCACACGTATTTACCACATAAAAAGCCAGGCATATTTCAGTGGGAGGCTGGCATTTTCTGGGGTTGGGTTTTGGAGCTGTTTGGGCGAGCTTCTAGCATCTACTGCTACATGCGCTGGAAGAAAAATGTCCACATTTGCCGGGTGTAAATTTTACACCAGACAAGTGGAAAACTGTAAGGTCTTTAAACTGCTCACTAGAGCCGTGCAGTACTGCATACTTTTGCATGGATCCGATACCAAGTAAATACAGCGCAGGTGTCCCCAGCTAATACTGATAAAAGTACTTTTTATTCAAGTTTGATACATCCGTTGTGGTTTTTCCTTTGAATGGTTTTGTTCAAACCTCCGACAGAATTTGGACAAAGTTTATAGGCATCTACAAAATATTTTAATACCATATTGACATGATTTGTGTGCATTTTTCCTAAACAAACAACTGGGTTTCCCCCAGTTTGTCCTATTGCCCCTAACACCTGGCTGAGCAGGTTTTCTGGAGGAAACCCTGCACAAAGTTAAAAAAGTTATCATTTGTGACCAAATCGGAACCAATTTGATTTTTCAGATAGGTTTGCGAAACTACAATACAAAACTAAAAAATAAATTCAGAAATGGAAAGCAACCTAAAAACAGTATTAGAGGCTGCAAAAGACTTGAGACCGGGACAGAAGTTCACCTTATGACAGAACAACACGTCTCACCACGCCCTCAGAATTACAATAGTCCAGTTGAAGACTTGACCTTAAACCGTTTGAAAATCTGTGGTAACAATCAGAAGTTGCTGTTCATAGACAGTTGAAATATTTTGCAAAGAATAGGCAAAAATTGGTGTCCAGATGTGCAAAGCTGTCATTCCCCCAAGGACCCGCAGTCGTGCATCCCAGATAAAGGCCGTCCTACATGACTCTGGGGGGTCTGAATACAAATGGATACCTCACTTTTCAGACTTTTATTTGTAAAAAACATGGTAACCAATGTAGACAGAATCGGCTCTTGGCAGATAGAGGCTTGTCATCTACCATTTCACTAGATATAGAAGAAAACTGATGTGGTTGTTGCGCAACTGCTCTGCTAAACAAACGACTCTTGATGATGTGGTTTGCAGCGCCATTCTGCTGTACCGAGCTCGACCCAAAGTTGACTCTGGAATTTATCCTGGCTTCAGTAATGGAAATAAGGGAATCGAAACAACACACCCCCCACGTCACAGAACCCTCCAACATAAACACACCGTTGAATCAGCTAGCATTTGTTGTAATTATGGTGGGGATTCTTCCTCTGTGGTCCCCAATAGTTGGCGAACTGATCTCTTAAAGGCCTGCACTTAGATTAAATATTGTTCTACCAACATTTCAAACAAGACTGGTGTATCGTTTTTGTTTGGAAGGGAATCCAGGGGGAGGGTTAGTGGAAAAAGAAAATAAACCATATGCAAATGTTTGGGAGCAGAGATTTTAACTGTCAGAACACTTTTTGCCAAGGTCTGAGTTCATTTATATTTGCTCTTTATAGGCTTATAAAACGATCTAAATCTGACCTCAAATTGAGCTAAACACACATTATATTCCACAGTCATTATTTAGGAAAAAGAAATCTGAAGCCAAAACGAAACTATGTGTGAACAACTAATTACATCCTTTCTGCCTTAACAGCAGAAGCTAAATGCCGCTAATCAATTGATCATTAGAAACTGAGACGGTATCCAAGAGGGTTTGGCAGTGTGGAGGTCAGGACTCACACTGGTGTGATGTTCAGCATCAGAATATTTTTTTTCTTTTCCCAAACAGGAAGGTTTGTCACCATTTGTGCCCTTCGTCTTCATGGAAACGGTGTTTTAGGAGATTCTACACGTTTGGGAGCTTTAAACAGGCTCCAACACTGAAAATTTCACCCTGGTGTTTTTATGTAGACAGTGAAAAACGCCTCTTTTTGTCAAAACCAGACGTATTAGCTCTAACTTGACCTATGACCCAAAACGCGTCATAAGCATTGTAATGGGAGATTGCATGTTTGTAGATTCCCTGATTGATTGACTTCACAAAATGATCTGTACTCTGTGCTATTTGACTGAAAACAGAAGGCTGACAAATGACATATTCCATGTTTGCATTTCTGTTTAGTTGTATGTATGTAGTTGAAGAGTTGTATGTCTCTATACTAATGTCCTGTACTCCATGTTTGGCGACTCTAGAGGTGTAGGGGAATAAAAACAGCGTTTTGGACAGTTCTCTGTGTTTTGGTGTGGGTGAAAACATTTCTGGAAACGGCCGGTAAGTGTTTTACAAACAGGCAACGATTTCCATGTGGACATGGTCTGAAAAGCTGGGGAGGTATCAGCAAATGACCCCAGAGAAGCAATTGTTGCCATCTGTCAATACGAGAATGGCTAAAGTATTTCAAGGCATGGATGGCCCAGTAATTTCACTTCTTGCTTTTAGAGTGGTCCACTGTCCATTGGCGTTCACCAAGCATTTGCATTTCGACCGAAACGGGAACCGGGTTCTCAGGCGGACCACGGCTCACTATTTTGGGAGTCCCATTGCGCATTCACACCTCCCAAAACGAACCGGACTTTCTAGATAAACGCACCAGTTTGCCGGAAGCGAACTATGGCTAGTGTGAAAAAAATATCCAAGAGGTCTCTTTGGTAAGTTCATTGCCAATGCTCATAACACTGGTATTAGAAAAGCACAGAATAAATATGGCTTCTTTGCAAAGGTTGCCTGGGGGGTGGGGGGGCTAATGCTAAAGTACCACTAAAGTTGGAACAAAAATGACTTCTAGAAAAGTCTCTTAATTCCACCCTCTGTGTCTGGATTCATTGTGAAAGGTCTTGTGTTAGTCGTTCATCCAGTTCTCCCTCCCGGCGCGCGCGGTCCCCCGTCAACCAGCTTCCTCCATTAAAATCCTCACATTTTTGCCTCGCAGTTCTCGATTTAAATTGGTTCTGACTGACAAAGAAAGGAGGAGGGGAAGCGAGGTGGGGTGGGGGTAGCAGGACGAATTACCTTTGGAGTCACGCCTATAACACAAACACACACGGCCAACTGTCTCCCAGGCTTTTAGAAAAATAGCTTTTCGCTTTCAGTTCGGAGGAGCCAATCG